TTGGTCAAGCTCTTCTTCACTGAGCTTTCAAAGAAAGGTCAGCAGCTTTCCTTCACTCTCTCTCTCTCTCTCTCTTGTGGCTGAATGGTACACATGTAAGTGTTGATAAACAGGACTAAAACACCAGTTATATACACTAACGTCAGGGGCTAGCAAAGTCCTGTTGGATAAAATAGTCTTGGGGCTTACCACCCTTGTTTAAGGCAAGAAAAGGGAAAAAACTGCCGTCTAGTGGGGGCAATAACGTCATGGGCTAGCGAAGTCCGGTAGGATAAAATAATCTTGGGGGCTACCGCCATTATCTAAACCACCAGCACATCTTGAGAATCACGAATGAGCCTCTCCAAAAAGTTCCGGCAGTCGGGATAGGACCTGCAGGGAGAGGGCAGGGGGGGCAGGCGGCAAATGTTTTTTGTTCAATCCTGCTCCTCTTCCCACCCCAAGGCATGCAACATTTTTTTTCTCATCTGCCTGTAGGTTGACTCTGTCCCAAGCCTCCGAAATTTTCGGAGTGGCTCATTCGTGGTTTAAGGGAAAAAAGGAAAAAGCTGCCTTCTAGTGCTCTGCTGACCTCTCATGTTTCTTCCCTTTTGTAAATGTAATTCAGGGCTCCTCTCTATTCTTGGGAGTGTCAGTCCTTTTCAGTTCCTGCTTCACCTGCAAGTCCCAAAAACAGAATAGAGGATATGCCCTCGCTTCCTTCGGTTAAGTCCAAAGGAACTCGTCAACAACATTGACTGCTGCTTAGCAGGAGAATCGACTGTCAGAAAGCCTCGTTCTTTATGACTTCCTCAGTCTACACCCGCGTGGGCTGTCAGCTGTGCATTAAGACCTAGAATTCCTCGAGGCTAGGCATATGATGGTAAAAATAAAAAGAAAGGATTGTGGCTTCACCCAGCCAGAAAACCTTCCTCTTCTTTTAACCTTGATGCGAAAGGCCATCAGGATTGTTGCCTGCACCCTGAAGTATGTGGAGGTTGCACACTGAAAATGAAGTCCATATTGGAGCTTGCCTTTCTTGTGGCTGGTGATCCTGGCATCTCACAGCTGTTTCTGATTATGCCTGTCGAATTATCTCATTTGGACTTGCTTGGCAGATGGAGTTTTTGAGTAGTTGCCTCCTTGCCATTGGCTATCCAGACTCGTTTGCACTTGGCCTTAAGCTCTTTTTCTGCCTTTGATGTATTTCATCTACTCTTCAAGCAGTCCTCTTCATCGGAGTGCTTCTACTTCTCCGAGTGTTTCCTATACAGTTCTGATTCCTCATCTTGTTGAATATAATGCTATAGAACTCCTTAAACCACCTGTACATCCGAAAAAAGCAGATTGAGCCTCTCCTAAAAATTCGGAGGCCATGGACCGTCGATAGAAGGAATCGGCAGTTCATGGCGGCCTATTTTTTAGGAGAGGCTCAATCTGGTTTTTCGGATATGCTGGTGGTTTAAACCACCAGTACTTCCTAAAGTCGTGCTCGTTAACGCGCCACGATTTTAGGAAACATACGGGCCACTACAGGAGTGCCCAGATTCATCCAACTAGAAACGTTTCTACTCTGTTTTTTTTCGGCGGACAATAGCTGGGCCAAGTACTGGTGGTTTAAGGGATCCTTCTGGGCCATTGGCCGTTTGGCACCGATTCTGGGCCAATCACCAGAATCTAAGATAGCCCATAATCTCGACTGTTTGGGCACATGGATGGTCTAGATCGCAGGCTGAATTAAGCTTCTCGTGATTTGCCCAGAATTTGGTCCTTCGTCAGTTGAGCGGCGTAGATCGTCCAGAATCTGGTCCTTCCGGCCGTTAATTGTCCCAGTTGAATGAATCCACATCCTCCAACCTTGGCCAAGAGTTCTCTTACGTCCTTCCAGTGAAGTAATGTTCCCTGCGAGGAGTGTGCTCATTTTTCACCAACGCTCTGCTACTAAGGTAGGATTGCAGCACTTGTTCTATCCAGCTGGGGTGGTGTCTAGTCTGTCCACTTAAACTTCATTATCCCAATTTAACCATGCCCGTTTTGCTGTGACAACTCTGGTTGCAGGTCACAATCCTATCTACAACCTTTTGCCAGACATGTTAAGCAGGCTCTCAAGTAATCCGAAAGTGTCTCAAGAGACTTTCCGGCACATTATGCTGTTCTTGATGGGTTTTATCAAGAAGGTTGGTAATTGGGTTTGCATTGACGTGGTTCTCTCTGCAAGGTCCTTGTCAGTATCATCATGCAATTGGCTGGGCTATTGCCTTCTGTTTCTGTCTTGAGGTTAGTACATCATTTGATCTACCATGCAACAGGGATACTGAGGGTTCAAACTCTGCTATCATGTATATCCTCCTTCAGTTCACTGTGATTTACTGGTATTTACAAAAACTGCGAGGCGTTTTAAGCCATGCGTAGTAGCGTACCCTCACCAGGTTAATGTTTTTGGCCTCCGGCATGCATGGGGGCCCAGCAGAAGCTCAGTGGAGTTTCGGGCAAGGGTCGTGGTGGGAGTGGAAGAGGGGGGTGGGCAACGAGGTGTTTTGGGAGGTTTGTTGAACAATGGAACACTCACACCATCGGCAGCCAAAGAGAATGTGCACTGTCAATCGATGTATCAGGACTCTCCATTGTGCAAAATACAGATGCAATGACCATACGTTTGCCCCAACCAATGTGTGTGTTCTCTCTCTCGAACTAACATGAACAAGGAAGAAGACATCAACTCGAAGTGTGAGGCTTCTACCTCGGTGCCCTCAGGAGGTCGCCCACCAATGTTAAGGCCGTCTCTAAGGGAAGCCTCCGCCTTGCAACAAAATTGTCCTAGATATAGGAGCCCAGTGAACTACCCAGAAGGCCCTGTTGGGACCTAGATCAGGCAGGTGCCTGGGCGGCAGGCCCAGGAGAGTTGAGCCTTAGCCCCGCATTGGAATAAATGGAAGCAGGCCCAGGCATATCACACACGTGGCAGCGGGCATTATCATGCGGCAGCTCTGCAAAACCACTTGGTAGTGCCTTGTGAGGGCAGCCTGTGTCCAGATGAGGGAAGATCGAAGGCAGTGCAGCAGTGGAAGTGCCGAGCTCCGGGTTGAAGTGCCTTGCCGAGGTGGGCAGCTGTGGGAGTAGGAGCACACTTACCTGTTGATTGGTTTTGCGAACCTGTTGGCTGAGACTCCTCAGCGGCATGGGGCAAGGGACACGAGAGAGAGAGAGAGAGAGAGAGAGAGAGAGAGAGAGAGAGAGAGAGAGAGAGAGAGAGAGAGAGAGAGAGATGCATGAAATGTATGGAATCAAGCTAGTGGTGTTTGGACATCCGTTGGCAAGGTCTAATTGGACACTGAATTCTGCAACCGTTTCCTCTTCTTCAGGAGAAGCAGTTGGATGGATTGATTGAGAAGCTTTGCCATCGCTTCCCGGCTGCACGAGGTATGGCAAACTGTTCTTTTCTTTTTTCCTTCTTTGAAACAATGGGAAGCCCCTAACATCTGAACATTGGATATGAAGTATTATGAACTCATAAGTTGTGGGTCTGACCTTTGTAGGCGTACACCATTTCAGCCACCAGACCATGCACCTTCATTTATTTCCTACTGATTCATTTCCAATTCTACCTATCTTCCATGTTGTGAATGATTGAGCTGTTGTCGTATAGCGGTCTATTCTCTGTCAGTTGCTTCCCGTAGTCTGAGTGTTCTAAATGACCCAAGATTAAGACAGCCAGGTGTATGATTTACACTCAAGTATGCAGGCCTCCATATACATTCTGAGAAGGTAACCTTGGAATTTCGGTCACATAAAGTGAAAATGCACCCTTTTGCCTGCGACAAGGAGCTATATATGGACATGATATGCAATCCACCAGAAGAGCAAGTTTTCCATGTACTGCAATTTGTTTGTATGGTTTGCACATTGTAGTCCTTTTATTTTTGTGCAGTGCTGTGTGGTTGCAGATGCATGCAGATGCTTGAAGATGGAAACCCATGAACAGGCAGACAATGCCACACATGCACATTTTGGCAGATGAACAAGAGATGAAAGAGTGGGACTGTTGATTGGGGTTGCAAGATGGGTTGATGGCACTGTACATGCACGATGTGGAGGGGAAAGTGTCAATTGGGGTTACCTGCTACTTTGGAGCATGTTGGATGGGAGTTGAAGCATAATTGGGGTTGCAGGGTGCTTGGCATGCACATTGGGAATAAGGAGCATAGATAGGGGCTACAACATGTTTGACAGGCAAGTTTGAGGGTATTGAAAGGATTGCTGAAGATGCTTTGAACACAAGGAGGGGGGGAGGGGAGTATTAATGGGGATTGCAACGTTCTTTATGTACGTGATGGGGGTTGCAAGATGCACTACATATATGTACAAAAGAATGGGCCGGGGCGTTGATGGTACCGTACATGCACGATGGGGAAGGGGAAGTGTCAATCGGGGTTACCTACTACTGGGAGCATGTTGGTGGGAGTTCAATCATAGTTGGGGTTGCAGGGTGCTTGGCATGCACATTGGGAATAAGGAGGAGCATAGATGGGGGCTACAACATGTTTTACAGTCAAGTTTGGGGGTATTGAAAGGATTGATGAAGATGCTTTGCACACATGGAGGGGTGGAGGGGAGTACTAATGGGGATTGCAATGTTCTTTATGTACATGATGGAGGGAAATAGGAGTGTTGATGTCGATTGCGACAGAAGGGGAAGCATACATGTCGAGGGGGCGCAGTGTGGCGAGGTGTAGGAGATCAGGGTGATCTCGTGCATAGTGTAATGGGGAGTGTTGAGGGGTATGACATGATACTTTACACGGACATGCGGGATATCAGTGATTCGGGAGGTTGCAAGTTGGTTGCGCTCAAGGAAGGGAGGGAGGGAGGGGGGGGAGAGATAGGTAGATAGATAGATAGATAGATAGAGAGATAGATAGATAGATAGATAGATAGAGATAGAGATAGATAGATAGATAGATAGAGAGAGAGAGANAGAGAGAGAGAGAGAGAGAGAGAGAGAGAGAGAGAGAGAGAGAGAGAGAGAGAGAGAGAGAGAGAGAGAGAGAGAGAGAGAGAGAGAGACTTGCTGGGCCTGCTTGTCTTACCATCCCTTGTTTATCTGTTTCTGCATCTTACTGGCTTCTTCTGGGAGAACCTTGCCGGGGCTGGCAAATGTTTTCTGCGGATCGGCTGGCACTCTGCTTGCTCGACTACTCCCAATAACCCAATTCACATGTTTACCTTTTGCATTGCGTATTTCGTGGATCCATTTGCCACTTGCCTAGATGTTGCAGTCTACGCTGTGAAGTCTGAGCGTTTTAATTTGGCATCTGATCTTGTTCCTGCCTGCTGGCACACTGCTGGCATGTGACTTTGTTTCTCTTTGCACTGGACAGAATGGAATTAGAATATCCTCCTGTTTGGTCTTGTTACATTGTCAGGAACTCATCGTCATAGATGAATGGCTGTGTCTCCGTTACTCCATTCTTTTGTGTGTGATGTGTTCCCTTTATCCCTGCATCAATCTTCCTCTGTCACCCCCCCTCCCTCCTTCCCTCCCTCTTCCGTCCCTCTCCCCTCCCTCTCCTCTCTCTGCCTCCCTACCTCCCTCCCTCCCTCCCTCCCTCTCTTTTGGAGTCCCTCACACCCCCTCCCCTTCTCCTTCGCTTTCCTTTGTCTTTCATCTTGCCCTTCTTCCCCCACCTCCCGCCATTCTTTTCCTTTCCTTTCTGTCCTTCTCTTTTATTCCGTTCTTCTGTCTTGTTTTCCTTCCCTCTCTCACTTTTATTGCCCTTATGCCACTTTTCCCTGCTTTTCTTTTTCTCTTTCTTTCCTTCTCTTCTTCGACTTTCGTTCTTGTCATTCCTACTCCCTCTCTCCTCGACAGATTTAAGGCAGTGGAGAGATATTGCATATTGCCTTTCTTTGCTCAGCTTCTCAGAGAAGGGTGTAAAGAAATTGATTGACATGTTCAAGCTGTACAAAGATTGTCTTGGTGATGAAGAGGTCGTCGAGCACTTCAAGTCGATTGTTGGAAAGGTGAGTCACAGACCTACCTGTGATGTTGTGCCATGGCAGGAAGTCAAGGTGTGATGGGTGAAATGGAAGGGCTTATGTTACGAATTGCCAAAATCTTAAGCACTTCCACTCGTCATCTCACTTATAACACACTTGATTGAGATGAGATCGCACTGGACTTCAACTCGACACAAAATCGGAACTGAATACTCACATACAAAATGGTTGACGAAACCAGAAAAAGGTGATGGATAATTGAAGGCCTGGCCTCCCTGAGCAATATGCTACAATCGACTCTAGAAACCGTCCAGTGAACAGCAAGTTCTCACTGGCTATGGCTGCTCTCTCTCTCTCTCTCTCTCTCTCTCCCTCTCTCTCTCTCTCCTTGAGCAGTGCTGAAAGAAACTCCTCTCTAGTCTCACCAGCAGCAAAAAAACATGATGAATGAATTCTGAATGAGGGTTTTGCACCAACTCATCACTTTTGAGGACCGGCTACTTGCCTAGGTCTACAGTGTCCATCTACCAAAAGAAAAGCCTAAAACTACCAGCCAAAAAGATCCTATCACTATGCCAGGCAAATAGGGACTCTACACACAGGTCCCCGGGCTCAAAGCTCATCTGCTTCAGAACAGTAAGAAAAAAGAAAACAGAACAACTGTTCATACTTTGTTTGGGTCCCAGTTCAAATCCACGCGATAACAAAAAATAGCGGAAACTTGAAATACAACAGACAATTGGGCAGGTTGCGGGTTCAAATCCCCAAATCCCCAACAGCTTACCTGGTACCACCCAGGAACTGATATCATGCGGGTTGGGTGGTAGCACCCAGTAGCACACAAAATCGGCCTCACTGCAGCAGCATGGCCTAAGTAGTTCTATGCGGGCCGCTGGTGTGATGTGGTGTGGGTGATACTATGTGGGTTGGGGTGTACCATTTGCACTTAGTGGTCTGGCTGTGGGCTAGGTCGTATTATGTGGACTGGACGGTACTCTATAGGCGAGATGGTGCAATGTGGTGTAGGTGGGTGATGCAACAGGGCAATGTGGTTTACGTGGGCTGCAATGTTCCTTCCCCCCCTTCCCCGACGGCCCGCTGGCCGAGAATAGCAGAATCAAAGAGAATTTGCAACCGAGAGAGAGAATCCCAATGTACTCAATGTGTTGGAAGCCCTTTTCCTTGTGTACCCTTCTCCTTACCCCCCCCGTTTTTTTTCCATAGAGAAAGGGGGGTTAGTCAGTGACATCTGATTCTATCGCAATTTTAGCTCATGACCTGTTTACAAGGAGTTTTACACGTCTGCTGTTCATCCACACGGCCAGGTGTGTGCTTGTGTTTGAGCAAACACAGTCCTCAACTCGAATACAGCTATGGAGGAACTGTGTGATATGTATGTATGGGCCAGGCCACGAAAGACGAGAACACGACATTGAAGAAGTCGAAATAGGACAATGCAAACAACAGAAAAAAAGAAAACAAAAGGACATCCGAGCGTGGCGCACAAAGACGACAGAAAGGGGAAAAAAGTGAAAACAAACATCACAGTTAGAGCTCATGCACAGCCAACAAAAACATGGCCAAAGCATGAGAACAAGAGTGGTCGCTTGTAAAAGCTTCCCTTGGGCGAAACTGCTCCCTGGGCAGTCATGGACTGTCCTTGAAGACCTGCGTTTTTCTTTGGCTTTCATATAGATACTAGATAGCAAATAATTGGAGAAGGTACAGCAGATGCTGTCAGGATGGCAAACTGGCAGTCCGACTTCGGCAGGGTGCCTCCCTGCTGCCACTTTCCCCTGAGCCAGCAGGGACCATGTTTTGAGACATTCTTCTTCCTTTAGGTATTACAAGTCAAGGCGCTCGGTGACCGATGGCCGTGGCCAAACGTGGCAGTGATTCAAAGCACCTCGGGGGAAGTGAAATCGAATACCATTGCCTGAAACAGAAGAGAAGGTCATACTCTTGAAGCATAGGTCTGAATGCACGTTCTCTCTCTCTCTCTCACACGCACACACACACACAAACACACTATGGTGTTTTAAGCAGTAGTGTTCCTGGCGTCGCGTGGACATTCTGTCGAACACACACACAGACAAACACATACTATGGTGTTTTAAGCAGTAGTGCTCCAGGTGTCGCGTGGAGATTCTGTGGAGTTATTTTGTGGCTTTGTGGGGCCGACTCAGAAGGCTTTTCCAATCCTTTCGAACCATTGGAGGTTCTGGTCGGTGCTTTCTTGTTGGTAGTGCCTTCTGTGTTGCAGTGCATTTATTTTTTGTGGTCGGTGTCTGGTATATGATTTTGCGGAGCAGGCTGGAGTTGCACGGTGCGTGGGCAGTTGGCGCTTCCCTCTACCTTTTTCCTTCGATTGAAAAAAATACATATATATATCTGTGCATGTGTGCCGCTTCTGCGGCAGACGGGTGTGTGGGTACTTCCCGCTCAACCACACAAACGTGGGGAACCTTGCATTTTGTATTACATTCCCCGTTTGTACTACTTTTGTTTTATGAATGGTTTGTGATGGCTTGTAGATGGAATGAGCGAGAGACTTTGGGGTTTCTTGACAATACACACAGCTTCTCTCTCTCTAACACCAAATTTGACCACAGGCAACATCAGCCCTCCACACAATCGAACGCAGCAGGCCCGCCCTCTCCTGTTAACAGGGCCACCACCCACTCCCTAGCACCAATTTTGACCACAGGCAGCATCAGCTCTCCACACAATCGAATGCAGTGGGTCCGCTCTCTCCTGTTATTCCTACTGAAATGGCTGACACTAATGTGGATACGCCAACTCAGCTGGGACCATGCCAGCGGCAATAAACAATGTAAACGTTGTCGTAATGGCTGCAGGGGATGAAGGCCTGCATCCTACCAATACGGCGACTGCTGCTGGAAGTGTATCTCCTCCACCGCCACCTCCGCTTCCGCCTCTACCACCTTCCCCCCCTCGCCCTCCCCGCCACACACACACACACACCGCCACCACAACCACCATCACTGCCACCATCATCGCACCACACCGTCACCACCACCTCCCTCGCCTACATCTCCTGAGTCATCTGCCTCCTCTTCTTCCTCTTCCTCTTCTCCCCCTTCCTCGTCCTCCTCATCCTCCACCTAGCATCCCTCGCCTTCGTCATTGACCTCATCATGAACACATTCACGGTGCGATCAGCCGTCACAAAGGCCCGGACCACAGAGGCATCCATAGTCAGATAGACTGTTGCAGATGCCTCTTCGCCGGTGATGTTCCTCGTCTCCACCGCTGCCTCCAAAAAAGTTACCTCGTTTATCCTTGAACAGCATGATCACCCCGCCCCCTACAGGGGTTATAGGTCTGCTCCGACTACATGCTTGCAACCGTGCACTAGCAAGGAATAGTATGTATCGAGTCCGATGCCTGCAATGTGGCAATGATTTCTTCAGAGCGCAGGCCTGTGCGTGCACCAGACACGAGGTGCGGCTACCTGTGCAGCATTTGCACGACTAGCAGCCACTCTGAGCAAAAGTGCGGCTGATCACCTCCCAATTCCTGCATCTGACCCTCCCATGGTCAGATCAGCCATCACAGAGGACCCGTCGACAGAGGCATCCACCGTCAGATCGACCGTTGCAGATGCCTCTTCGCTGGAGATGTTCCTCGTCTCTATCACTGCCTCCAAGACAGTGACCTCGTTTGCCCTTGAACAGCATCATCACTGCGCCCCTGCAGCGGTTAGAGATCTGCTCTGGTGACATGCTGGCAACTGTACGGAATATTCACTCTTTCTATCACCAAATGGTAGAATGTCACTTGGTTTGGCTCGTCCATCAGGAACACTATGTCGTCGTGCACTCACAAGCTCTACATTCTCCGGTGAGCAATCCCGCTGAACCTCCTTCCACTGTGTATGGCCAGGCAGATCCCGCCCTGTTTAGATTGGATGGATTCTACCACGGACGGTGAAGGAACCTCTTCAGAGGTTAGTGGCTGTGCCATCCCACTCTGTCGTCACACAGCTGCAGTACGGTTACATAGTCTCTGCTCCGAACACTATGAAGGGATGGTCACTGCCAGCCTCTGCCGGGAAAACTGTAACCCTTTGTCTTGTACTCATCCTTCCCACCCCCTAATTACTTGCCCAGTATGCCGTTGTGGCCTTGACATGCCATGCCTAAAAAGCTTTGAACCTCAGCCTGCTTTCCTGCTGACATGTCAGTGTCGGGCACTGTCGTCAATGTTTCCAGGAAGTTGTCATGTCCCTACTGCGTGGACTATCCTCGATGCCATCATCAACCACATCCTCTCTTAGCATGTCCTACATGCATGTTCGGCGTACACCTGCTGCGATCGCAGTTGGATCTCCTTCATCCTTGGATCTCCAGCAGCCTGAGGAGGAAAATAGAATACCATATGAGCTGCCTACAGAGTGCTGTACTGAAAGATTATCACCACCAGGGCTAGCTGTTGCAGACCTAATCCTTCAGCAGCTAAACACCCTGGCTTTGGATCAATCCCCCCCGTGGTCGTCTGCGCATAGAGAGGGAATAAATACCAGGGAAACCTGGTCACATCAGTCGCAGAGCCGGATCTCTGTCTCTCTCTCTCTCACACACACACACACACACGCAGACACTACGTGGTGGCGAGGATACCCACATTGGGTGCACATTGCACAGCCCTCTCTCTCACACACACAACCAGCTCGGCGCAGTGGACACTTAAATTGGGCGCCCACAGGATGCATGTTTTCTGGCTTTTACATTTGACTCCACCCTTACCTTTCTCAGCCTTTTGGCTAAGAGTATATGTTCTGAATCATATCGAAAAAAGAAAAAGGGTGTGGTAGCCCGCAACCCTACCTCTTCTGTCCCCACCACGCTTCCTGAAAAAAGGAGTAGGAAAGAGGACTTGCCCCTGAGAAACCCCAATGTACTCAATGTGTTGGGAGCCCTTTACAACTGTTTCGATGCCCTAACATCTTAGTCCGTTTTTTTTTAATTAATAAAAGGGTGGTACTGGGTGCGGGTGGTTTTAGTGTGCTTTTTTTTTTCTGCCCTTTTCTTTGTGTGCAATCAACAAGGATGACACGAAGAGCATGTCCGGTGTGCCCTTTCAGGCAGGCAGGGGCACCTCGAGCTCATTTGGAGCAACGGGTCTGACCTTGTGCTTTTCACTGAATCGGCTATTTCGTTGCTGTACACTGCTCTGATGGGGAGCCGTGGTGAACCTCGTTGGTGTGGTCAACGCCGCACCCCTTACCTCTATTGTTTGTTGTTTTGGGGGGATTTGGGGTTGATATTGGGGATTTTTATAACACACACACACACACGGTGAAAGTCCGACGAAACAGTCTGGTACAGTCGTGCTTTTTTTTAGTGTATAGCGAATATGACAACACACACAGGGCTACTTCCACAGGCCACACCCGGATCTGTTTTGCCTGTTCTGTGGAGGTGGCCCACTAGGAGCAGTATGTGTTCCTCTGTTCGTTATCCTGCACACCCCAACCCTTGAGTAACCATTGTCCTTCATGGCATTCTCTGGCAGTCTGTTCAACTCTGTTGTACTGGTAAATGATTTAATGGGGTCCTGTTTTCTGTCTTCCCTCTTTCTCCCTTCCCTCCTGTCCCTGTGCAGAACTGCCAAATGCATACAAATGAAAATCACAGAGAGAACAGACAAAATGGAAGGTACAACTGTCCTGAAAGGCAAATGGATGCATAAACATCCTACACTCACGCACACAGACGTGGTAGGCCTTGCACCACTCAGAATACAGCAATGAAAATAAGTTCGCAAACCACTTCAACAAAACGTCAAACCCTTTTCCACCTGGTTGCATAGAGGTCACCCTGACTCTCCGGTTCTAACCATCAGATCCCAATTGACAGTCTGCGGTTGATTGACTTGTTCCACACTTTCCATACTCCTTTTGCCTTTTTGGAAATGACAAGAGAGAAGGGAGGGGGAGGGAAGTGGCGTGCCAGCAAGGTCCTGGACTGCCGTAATCAGAAGAGGATTGCCATTTCAAATGAACGGATGTTGATGATAGGACCAAGCGGCTAACTGCTATTGAGTGTTTTTGTCTGATCAATGGGGGCTTGTTCGATTAGGTGAAGAAGTTTGCAAAGCCCGAACTGAAGACTGTGCTTGAAGGTTTTGATGAAAAGCTGATCGACTGCCATAAAACGAAGCGGGAGGAAGCGGAAGCAGTACGGAACGCTGGTCGGCACGAGCAGCTGAAAGTGGGCAGAAATCATACTCAGGCAAAAGAGAAGTCGGATATCGGACCTGCAAGTGGGGTAACTTTGGCCCGTGAGAGCTCTGACATGGTTGGTGAACGTCCTCAAGCCTCTGATGACAGAACTAGTGGTGAGGAAGCTGGAGGTCGTGATCCCTGTGAAGGGCAAAGTGAACTGAGCGGTTGTGAAAGCATTGCTCAACCTGCGAATGAGGGGATGACAGACAATGAGAGCTCTGCTGTTCACAATGGCTGTCATAAACCAGCAGATGGTGTGGATGCGGATGTTGTGGACCAGCCTGAGAACTCAATGGCACACCATGAAGATAGACGATCTAGCTGCAGTGGTAGTGTTTTCATGAGCCGAGGTCCTGATGGTAGTGATACAGATGAGGATGACAACGATTATGGTGGTGGTGGTGGTCCCCATAGAGCTGACAGTAGTTGTTCAGGTACTGTCCGCAAGAGTAGAGGGGGCAGTCGTGGAGGTCTGAGACAATGGCCTGGGAGGGCTGGAGGTGGCGTCTGCGGTCGTAAGGAGGATGTTCAGGCAACTGACACATGCTCTGAAGGGATTTTTCAACAACGTTCGACTAGTTTGAAGGAAGGGAAGGCAACTGATGTGTCAGTTGGTGAGCTCACTGTGAATGCAGCAGGATCTGCAGAATTATGGTTAGGGCCGGAGGGCGAAGGTTTGACTAGGAATAAGAAGAAAGCCGAGGATGAAGAACTTGAGCCAAATGGTGACCGGGTCGCAAAGGTGAAGGCGTGCACCACAAATGAAAATCCTCTGCTCCATCATAAAGATAGCCTGCAAGCTAGGAGATTCATGTCTGCAAAGGAGCAGGAGACAGGCAAGACCATGACGCATGGAAGGAAACAGAGTGGGGACGCACAGACACAAGCTCATTGCAACACTCAAGAGGGAAGCAGTTTCGTTATTGCCTCGCCTCGATGTGGAGATGAACATCATGTTAGAAGGAACAAGGAGATGGCTGCAGAAGCACAGCTACAGATGGATGCTTCAGGTGAAGGCATGTCTTGTTCAAAAGAAGAGCCAGTGAGACATGGTTCATCGCAATGCTCACACTCGACGGTGGATGACGTGCTTGATAAGTTGTATGGAAGATGCGAGGTCAGCGCTGAAAGTCGTGACGAGAGTGCAAAAAGTGTATGCAATCTCCGTGAGAAGACTGTCCTCGCAGGCAGGTTTCTATTTCTCTCTCTGACTACCCTTAGGAGTGCATGTTCTGATGTGTGGTGGCTCTCTTCAGAGCACCACTTCCTGGTGGCCATGGTCTTCAGTGTGGACAGTTGTGCATTGAAGATTGCTGTGGATGCCAGACTGGTTTGCATGCATTGGCTGTCTGAAATGAGCATACCAGCGTGTCTACAGAAGATGGCTGAATCATTGTGTGGTATATCTAAAATGTCTCTGGATATTTCATGCCTGCTTTGAATTGCTTCGTGGGCGCTTTGGGGGTGGGGTGAACATATAGGCATGATCATCAACTGCATACTTCCTTCGAAAGGTTGCCCAAAGTACGCCAGGACTGTCTCATCTCCTCTTTGCCCAAAGTACGCTCTGAGATGGAACACATCGGGACACAAGCTGCACGATTCCATGAATGTGTCCTTCTTTCTGTCATTTTCCTAGCCTGGAATATTGTAAAGTGTGAAATGTTCCTCACTTCCAATTAGGGAATGGGTGACCGTGTAGGTGAATCATAGACTAGTTGGGGGAGGCTGCATGGGGGGGAGGGATGTCTGCCCTGGTAGGCTAGTGAGAGGGTAGGATCTAAAACGTCATAAGGGGGAAAAAAGGGGGGATAGGTACGTAAGAACTATACAGGAGAGCAATGGTGGCGACTATTATTGATGGGGACTTACAACAGTAGAGGCTATAGGGGGGACTGGTGAGTAGACGAGTGGGTATAGAGGCTAGGGGGTAAACCTTTGGCAAATATGGTGGGGGCCGATCTGGGATAATAGGAGGCCGAGCAACCGGAGGGACAGCCAGGGGACAAGGGTCGCCCTCCCTGCGACACACATTACGTGTGACTGGGTACATATTCATGTTTCCCAGCCATTATGCCTGCCCTAGGAGTGGGATGACTGATTGGAGCCTGGGGCAGTTCCCCCAGTCCCCTCTGCGGAGCGGCTAGTGCGGCAGAGGTCTTAGGCTGAATCTTGCTTTCTCAGAGGGGGGGGAAACACATGAGGTAAAAAAAAAAAGGGAATGTTCCCCACTTCTCCCTAGAAGTGACAGACACTGACAAAAATAGTTGGAGAACGTGGAGAGGAGGCACAGGTAGAGAGTGTGTGTGTGTGTGTGTGTGTGTGTGTGTGTGTGTGTGTGTGTGTGTGTGTGTGTGTGTGTGTGTGCGTTGTCTCTTATACACATCTAGATGTGTATAAGAGACAGCACTTACACTGCAAATCACAAATTAGCAAATAGT